TATAAGAGCGCGCCGCGCCTGGAGCCGGCACACCCGCCGAGAGCCCTTCCACGCGCGCCGCCTCCCCTGCTCGGCTCGCCGCGGTCCCTCCTCGCTTCTCTGTGTCTCTCTCTCTCTCGTGCGCGCTCGCTTCTCGCTCTCGCCTCTCCAATGCGCCTGGCGGAGATGATCAAGAAGATGGGTCCCAGCAGCGAGGCGGAGCTCAACATCCCGGCCAAGAACTGCTACCGGATGGTCATCCTGGGCTCCTCCAAGGTGGGCAAGACGGCCATCGTCTCCCGCTTCCTCACCGGCCGCTTCGAGGACCAGTACACGCCCACCATCGAGGACTTCCACCGCGACCTGGATCATGGCTGTCTGCGCCAGGGCGCATCACTTTTGGATACTCTAAAAGGAAACGAACGAAGGAGAGGACAGGCTCCTTGGGCATGGGCAGAGTGCAGGGTGGCTCCTCAGTCTGTGTGCCTTTTTGTGAGAGACAGAACAGACAAAGAGACAGCCAGATCGAGTGCGGGGTGGTGGTGGAATCTCTCTCTCTCTAGCTATCATCCCTCTTTTTTTAAAAAAAAAGACTACAAATATCAGATAGTTCTATTTGGCCGCAAGCTGGCCGCAGTCCTGGAAAGCTTGCGCCAAATAAAACGTGTTCCTCCTTAGAGACCGACAGGACTCTTCGGTTTATTTTGGTTTCTGCTAGCACTGAGAGCAATTAATCGTTTCTAAAGAGAGACAGCCCTCGGGATGCAGGAAAACAATAGAATCTTGTTGCGCCCTAAGGCTAGCCTTCTACGGCGGTAGAACCTTACTTGGGCGAATCAGAGGCTCGAAGGGTTGCTTTGAATTAGTTTCCCTTGACTTATTTCCCCCTCCCACTCTGTTTATTTGTTTTAAGCTAAGCAAAATCTGATAGTATTCTTTCTGCCTTCTCTGTGCCCAGGGAGACACAAGTTCGGCCAGTTTTGCAGTGTTTTGAAAACCTGCTTGGTCACAGGCAACAAACCTGGTGTAGGGGGGAGTATAGGGGGTCTATAGGTATACACTGGGAAGCAAAGCTTGTCTAAACGGGTTTTTCTTATTAGCTTTTCCATCCCAACATCATCCCCCAGTCCCTCGCTCCTAACTGGCTTGCAGAAAACTCCAGCTGCGTAGCTTTTTCTCTCCCGGAAAGCCATGCAAACAGGTGGCCAAAATCTTATCCCGGGAGCTAAAATTCTCTTGGGTCCGGTGGAGTTTACTCCTGGCCAAAGATCCACCCACTAGCAGAAGCGCATTGCTGAAAGTGGCAGGATCATAACCCATAATTTCTTTTGAAAGTAAGGCAGCCCGTTTACTGCATCAGGAACAGCCTCTGAGGTTCCCAGATTCCCCTGCAATATAAGTTGGAGCTGTAAATACTTTTATTTTTATGTCCCTTTTGTCGGCCCAACCACAGACTCACTGCCTCTCACACACTTTTATTTTTATGACCCTTTTGTCGCATCAGCATTGGCACTTAGGTACACCTCGGGTTCTTATAATCCCATTGTCTTGCTGTTATTAGAAAAAAATAACGGCACAGTGTTACAGGATAAACCCCCTACTCCACAGAATCTATTTTTATTTTCTATTAATCCTGTTTCACGCATTAGCTGGGATTTCCTGCCCCCTCTGTTTATTGGAAAAAGAAATATATGAGATTAGAAGTCCTCACCCACCAACTGAGACCTAACCTGTTTTTTTTCCCTTTCTCTCTTCTCTCCTCCTTTTCTGCAGGCGACGTCTTTATTCTGGTTTTCAGCCTAGACAACCGCGATTCTTTCGAGGAAGTCCAGCGCCTCAAGCAGCAGATCTTGGAGACCAAGTCCTGCCTGAAAAACAAGACCAAGGAGAATATCGACGTCCCCTTGGTGATCTGCGGAAACAAAGGGGACCGGGACTTCTACCGCGAGGTGGATCCCCAGGAGATCGAGAAGCTGGTGGGGCAGGATCCCAAGAAGTGTGCTTACTTCGAGATCTCGGCCAAGAAGAACAGCAGCTTGGACCAGATGTTCCAGGCCCTCTTCACCATGGCCAAGCTGCCCAGCGAAATGAGCCCCGACCTTCACCGGAAGGTTTCTGTACAATACTGTGACCTTTTGCACAAGAAGGCGCTCAAGAACAAGAAACTCTTGAAGGAAGGGTCCAGCGATGGGGCTGGCGAGGCTTACGGCATCGTGGCCCCCTTTGCCCGCCGCCCGAGCGTCCACAGCGACCTCATGTACATCCGAGAGAAGGCGATTCGGGGCGGGCAGACGAAAGACAAAGAGCGCTGTGTGATCAGCTAAGACTCCCGGCTGGCCTTTGAACTTTCCCCAGCAGAGAAGGGAAGAACCTGTTCTTAAGTACCAAAAAAACTCTTGCCAGCCCGTACGGGTGGCGTTACGCTGGCTGCCAGCCGTGGCAACTCACATGCCTGTCAGGCATCTTCCCCCATCTCCTCGTGCATTATTCTGGGGGGGGGCTCTTTTCACCTGCTCCCCTTTGTTTCTCTCCCTCTCTCTCCCTCTTTTTTTACACTTTGAGGAGAGGGGTTGAGATTGCTCTGAGACGGTCAGGCTTCAAGCGGAGAAGAAACCTTTTAAACACACAAACATTGTGAAAGACAGCACTTGTGTCTTCAAAGAATTTTTCTTTTTTGCTGTGTCGTGGGCTGGAAGGGGAGCGCCCACATCAAACTGTGCCCGCACAGGGCGTGACTTGTATGTTGCGATGAAGCAAACGGTCGGAAGAAACCAAACGGAAAGTCTGAATGTTGCATTTGCTGCTGCTGCTAGACGACGTTACCTAGCCAGACTCCTTTAGGGGCGACCTGTGAACTTTCCTCCTCTGGCCTCCACTTTGGGAACTCAGGCTGGCGTGGAGGGGAGGGCAACGCTCCTGCTGAAGACGTGATCCTGTTTACATTTTTGTCCTTCTGTGTCTTGATCTTTTCTCGTGGAAAGAGGAAAAACTGTGTTCAAGCAAACCGGCACTTTACATATATATAGAACTCTTTGCTGAACGGACATGAACAAAAATTTCGCTAAGTGTTTCTACAATGTGTGACACACTGGTTTTTTTTTGGGGGGGGTTGTTATATTTTTTCTATAAAATAAAACTTTGGAAAACAAGTTGATTTTGGTTTCCTTCTCAGTCTTCTTGGGGGGGGTGCTAAAAAGGGGTGCAGTTGCATAAAAAAGAATGGGGGGTCGTGCTTCCAGGTGAATGTACCCACAAATTACAAAGCTTGGTAAAGCTTGTTTCTTCCTTAATTGACTTTTTTTTTTTTGTTGGGGGTGGAGGGAGGAAAGCAAAAGGATTAAAAGCAATGATGGGGAAAACAGGGGAGGGGTGGAAATCGGAGACACCCCCTGTAAAAATCTGTGGACAAGGCAGAGAGTAAAAGTCCAGTAGGAAATTATGGTAAACCATACCCTTCAATGCTACCCACTACAATAAAGCGGACTGTGTTCTGTTATTTTTAAAGTGTGTGTGTGTGTGTCTCCAAGGAGTGTTTCCATAGACACTAGTGGATTCATAAATTCAGACCTGAGATCATTTTCCCTTCCTTTCTTCGCAGACATCCTCACACAATGGTTGAAAAAAGAGGAGTGAAATTCTTTCTAAAGAGGGGGGAAATAATAAAATAAGAGATACTGGCATAATCCATGCAAGTGGCCAAAAAAAAACAAACCACCAAACAATCATCCTTGCAAGGAGATGATGGTGGTTATGTAACTTTGCTTTCTTGTCTCAGGCACATTTCCCAAGTTTGCTTTGCCTGGAGCGTTGGAAGGGTGCAGCCGAATCTGGTCAAACCAAACCGTTCTCCACACGCCCGGTTGGCAAACAAGGTCCATTTACTTTGGGAGAGCGACACCTAGGGGCGGCTTTTGAAAGTTCGGCCTTGCCCTGTTAAGGCTGCGGAAGGGTGGGCTGCTGGGTTGGGGGGAGCAAAGCAGCCCTCCGGACAGACTGGACCTCCCATGAACCCTCGCTAATGTGGGGGAGATCATCACCATCATCACCATCTTCGAACAGTAGAGCTGGAAGGGACCTTAGGGATCATCAAGTCCAGCCTGTCAAGGAGGCCCAGTGGGGGGGAGGGGATTCGAACTCCGAACCTTCAGCTCCGCAGCCAGATGCCAAAACAACAGAGATATCCAGGCTGGGAGGGAGACACCAGGGTCCCCCGTCCCTAACGAAATGCTGAAGTCACAATTTCTGGCGATCTTGTTAATCCGAAACTGGGAATTGAAACGGACAGGGATCATCCGAAGAACCTTCTCAGGATTCAAATTGGAAGCAAACAAAGAGAAAACGAGATTATTATCATTTTTTTTAAAAAAATAACTGAAGGACCCTGTCTAGTTGAGCATTTTGTTGCCAACTGTGAGCGGCGAGAACCTTAGGGAGGCTGCAACGGTGAAAAATGCTGTTAGCAATATGCCCGAACCATCTGGCACCCACCAGGTAGACTGCTCCTGTATAGGGAAGGTTTCAATTGGGCTTGACAATTGATTTACCATCTAGGAACCCTTTTACAAGAATTTCTTTATCCCTAAGGGTGACAAGCTTGGCACGCTTAAACTCCACGAAAGGCGGAGGGCTGGACACCGGAGCAGACAGAAGATGGAATACCACATACAGAAGGGCCACCTGGGTGGGTCGGTCCCTCTCACCTTTTATCACATCCCAGTAAACTTTTTTAAGTATTTGGCAGCGTTAAGAGAGATCTCATGGGATCAGAGCCCTTAGGTTGGTGCGGGGGTGCCTCCAGAAATCCCACAAGGACAGCGTGAAGTCAGTAAGTCTCCCTCCTATCAATACCCTGCAGCAGGCATCTGATGGCAGACTGCATCTAAACATGGAGGTTCCATTGAAACGTCCTTGTTCTGATATGCCCAGGTTGCCAGCGCTTGTGCATAAGGTAGCCAATACAGCCCACCCACCTTTTGCTGTGCATTACATGATCCTGCATCTGTTTGTGGCTTGGGTAACAAGCAGGCCGTACACCCTTGCCGATTTACACATACACCTATCTCTTGTATACGTATAGAAGGGAGCGGAAAACCTCTGGCTTTTTTTGAAAGAGAGAAGATGGAGAGCCAAGTACACCCCTTGAACTCACCAGAGAATAGGAATGTAGCAAATAAATAATTTCCCATGTACTCCGGCAGAGCCCATAGCCTGGTCGGATGGGAGTTGTAGTCCAACACACATGGAGGGCTTGACTCCCTAAAACGTTGAATTTGGGGGTTGCACTGAGAACAAATCGCTTAAGGTATTGGCTAAAGGGTGGCTGTTGGCTCTTAAATTTCTTTTGGAGTTTCCTTCATGTAGAGTTTGCCTGCTCCGTAGAGAGCGCCTCGTGTCTTGCACGGACCTCTGATGAGATCATTCTTGCCGTTGCTTTGTGGAAAACTTGCAGGGACCATAAAGAAAACAATTGTGTGTCTTGGCACGGCCAGGATTAAATGTACCGTGTGTGTGTGTGAGAGAGAGAGCTGCGGGCCAAGCCGTCCTCCATGACCCCTTACCTGTCTCCCAGAACACACCTACTCCCACTCCGCGCTCAGATAATCCGAGGCATTGTACATTTCGGCTCGAGTACAGAATAACAATGGGCCAGCCTACTGTACTCACACACCCAAAAGTGTGCAAAGAGCACCTCCAGAGACGACGACGCCACTGTTCACCTTCCCGGTGCAATCTCACAAAGCTACACTGGCTTCCAGGAGACATCCAAGAATGAGCAGCCAGGATGTCTGGCTCCTTCTTCCCTCTCCCTGAGTTGTCCCAAACCACCTCCCTGATGAGAACCTGCTGATTTTTGGGGTGCTAAATTGCAGTCAGGCCTTCTCCGGGGTGGCCCCCTCATTTTCGAATTCTCTCCCATCGGAGGTCCGACTGGCCCCGTCCCTCCAATTTAAAACTGAGCTGTTCTTGCAAACGCTCAACAGATCTGCCCCAGATTCATTTTGTTTTTTTGACTCATTGCATCTTGTGAGCCTCTCTTTGCCAGCTATTATTCCTGTAATTTCAGTCTCTTTTTAAAAGTTATTGCATCCTTAGGGATCATGCCTTGTACGATGCCTTCTCTGGATTTTATGGTTGCTCCGATTATATTAGGCTATTTTGATCCTGATTCGTTAGCGGCCCAAAGCAGTGGCTTTGTCAGGAGCTGGGCAGGATAAAATGGCATTCATTAAATAAATAAGGAGGCAGAGTGGGGCATCCCATTCTCAACCCAGCGACCTAAACCCTTAAAACAAATTCACTTTTGCACAGATCAGGCCCCAGACGGGCGCCAGCCAAAATTTTTGTTTGCACCTTAAAGTGAGACACTTAAGCAAACATCTCAAGAACGGCCTATTTACTCAAGAGGAAGAAAACATCTAGACAGGCTTAAAAGTCAGGGCCTGCGGTGGCCAATCCCCAGTTCTTTTCACAGAGAAACCACAGCACAGAAGTTCACTCCCCCATCCAGCGTCCCATAAAATTCAGTGAGTCATGCTGTGTTTTTGCTTTGCTTCTCTGTGGATGTCAAAGAGGCATAATCTTTCCTTCCCTGCTGCTTCCTTGTGCTGGAGTCATTTACAGAAGGAACAGATAATTGTTTTCAGAGGAAGGGGGAGGCTGCAGACACACACAAACAAAAAAGTGTTTTCTTTCCCCGCTGTTGCTTCCCAATCAATGCAGTAAGAACTGGGGTATACGGGCCTCCCTTGAGAGTTGACTTTATACCCACAGATGTGAGGGAGTTGCAGGTCTCAAGCTAGCCCAATTAGAACCAAAAAATAAAATAAAATAATAACCTCCTCCCATCTAGAAAATGAGCTTCTCAGGCTCAAGCTAGCCCAATTAGAACCAAAAAATTAGAACCAATTTCCAAACCAGAGAGTATTCAAAAATGCAACCTTTCCCCTCTCCTACACAGCTTCAAAGTCAGATTTCACCCACTCAGTTTTGCCGAGAGCAGCCATGGGCTCGGTCATTAGCAAACACCATGTCGGTGCTACAGGAAGAAAACCACAGATTCAGGCACCCTGCGCTCTCCTTCGGCACCAACGCGGTCTCCAGGCTGCTGTTACTCCCGAGAAGAGGGGGACCGTCTGCAGAGTCCCACGACGCTGCTTCTCTATTCTTTGGGAATTTCAAACATGCAAAGACTTTTGTATTTTTGCAACAATTCACTCTTTGTCTTGACCTGCTCCCGGAGGTTTTGAAGCTGCAGCTGCTGCTGTTCAGGACTGACGCCAATGCCTTGCAGGGATTTGACCAGCTTGCGCATCTCTAGGAATTTGGTCCTCAGCTCATTCAACACCTGATGGACGTCCTGGCTGTCTTTATCCATGCTGAAACACCAAAGGGAGGTGGTTGGGGAAGGGGAGGGGTGGGTGGGAGAGAGAGCAGTAATTAATTGATCATCCTCATGTACCATGTGCAAGAACGGAAACAGGATGCAACCGGCACACTGGCGCACGGCCTACGGGTTCACCAGGGGGGACCGGATGGGGATTTGAGAGGAAGTCCAGTCCTGTTAATGCATTTTAAACCAGTTTCCCTGGGAAAAATCTAAAACTTTTAAGGCTTTTAAAGTATTTATGGGTTCCTTAGCATCATTTCTTTATTGCAGGCTACGTTTTTGTTTTTGCTTAATTCTCTTTTGCAAAAGTTTGTGCTTTGCCTCTGATCGACTCTCACCCTCAATCATCCACCCGTCTTTTACACTCTTTGATCAACACTGATGTTACTGAAGACGCTGTGAAATGTTGTAATCACCAAACGGCCTGAAATTTGTTTAAAACAATCCCTTCATTCTAAGTGTACAGTGGTGCCTCGCTTGACGATGTTAATTCGTTCCAGCAAAATCGCTGTAGAGCGAAAACATTGTCAAACAAAACGAAAAAAATCTCATTGGAACACATTGAAAACCCATTCAATGCATTCCAGTGGGCTGAAAAACTCACAGTCCAGCAAAGATCCTCCATATGGCAGGCATTTTCGGTGCCTGTATAGCGAGGAATCCGGCCTAGAAAACAGTGGGGGCCATTTTGAAAACCGGTGGCCATTTTGAAACCCGACAATCAGCTGTTTGCTGATCATCGTAAAGTGAAAAATTGGTTCCCGAAACAGGGAACCAATCAATGTGAAGCGAAATTCCCCTATTTAAAACATCGTTTTGCAATTGCAAAAGCGATTACAAAAACGTCAACGTAATGCAGATTCGTCGTAGAGCGGGGTAATCGTCCAGTGGGGCACGACTGTATCTGAATAGAGCTTCATCTGCAGGGCTCCACAGAAATGAATATGGCCTACCAGTTATAGGAGTCCTGGGTTCAAATTCCTCACCCAGTCAGGAAAATGTAGACCCTCTCTTTCTCAGCTTAACTTACTACACAGGTTTGAAGCAAAGATAAACTCATGTATACCACCTTAGAGGAAAATAGAGAAATTTAAGAGATAAACAAAGAAAAGTTCCAATTTATTTTCACACCCTTTCAGCAGCAAATTTTATGGCACTCCAAATGTTTAGCACAGTATGTCAAAGTCCACACACCACCCGGCCTTAGCCTCACTTCTCAGAGGTCCTCAGATTTACAGACAGACGTAGCAGCATCCTCCTGTCCTTTAAAATGTCCTTTGAGTTTCTTGGTTGGAAAACGTACCAAAATATGACCTTCCTATTTTAGAAATACCTCTTTTGAGAGCTATGGGTCTACTCCAGACAACCAGAACGACGAACAAGTGGGTCCTAGATCAAATCGAGCCTGAACTCTCTCTGGAGGCAAAAATGTTGACGTCAAACTCTCTCTGGAGGCAAAAATGTTGACGTTAAGGCTCTCCTACTTTGGGCACCTCTTGAGAAAGCAAAGGATTCTCTGGAAAAGGCCCTAGTGCAGGGAAAGGTGGAAGGCAGCAGGAGAAGAGGAAGACCCAAGGTGAGATGGACTAAATGCCTAAAGGAAGCCATTGGCTTGCGTTTGCAAGAGCTGAGCTGGGCAGCGGAGGGCAGGACGTTTTGGAGAGCTCCCGTGCACGGGGTCGCCACTTGACAGCACAGAAAAGAGCTGAGCTGGGCAGCGGAGGGCAGGATGTTTTGGAGAGCTCTCGTGCACGGGGTCGCCATGAGTTGGAGGCGACTTGACAGCACAGAACGACAACCCGTTTTGAGATATGTTTTATGGTCGTCTTTGGAAGTAGAATGGGGGCATTCTAACCACCAAGTTATCTTGGTACAGGCAGACTTTCAGCCATGCCACTTCCGGATGAGCTACCCGAAGGATAGCGAGGCTCAAGCGGGCTTTATCTTCGCCGCGGGTGGGTCCCTAAACCAGCTCAAGACTTTGGCGGGCGGCCCCCGCCTGGCCAAGCCAGGAGCGAAACTCTTGGAATGACAAGGGAAAGAGAAAGCAGGCAGAAGGCAGAGAGAGACAGAGAGACCAGGGAAGCCGCCAACCGAGGTCGAAAGAACTCTTTTGCTGGGTCCAACCTAAAGGTCCCTCTAGACCACTGGTTCTTAACCTTGGGTTACTCAGGAGTTTTGGACTGCAACTCCCAAAAGCCTTCACCACCAACTGTGCTGTCTGGGGTTTCTGGGAGTTGTAGTTCAAAAACATCCAAGTAACAAAGGTTAAGAACCACTGCTCTAGACCAGCGATTCCCAACCTTGGTCCTCCAGATGTCCTTGGACTACACCTCCCAGAAGCCTTCATCCCCACCTCTGCTGGCCAGGACTACTGGGATCTGAAGTTCCAGAACCTCTGGGGGCCCAAGGCTGCGGACCGCTGCGTTTCTGGGAGTTGTAGTTCAAAAACATCCAAGTAACAAAGGTTAAGAACCACTGCTCTAGACCAGCGATTCCCAACCTTGGGCCTCCAGATGTCCTTGGACTACAACTCCCAGAAGCCTTCATCCCCACCTCTGCTGGCCAGGACTACTGGGATCTGAAGTTCCAGAACCTCTGGAGGCCCAAGGCTGCGGACCGCTGTTCTAGAGTAGACCAGCACTCCGTTTCCAACAAGAGGCCGGCCAGGTGCCTCCAGGAAGGCAAGGAAGAGACGAAGAAGAACCGTCAAGCCTCCCTATCAACTTCTCACAGTTGATGAGGGTCAACGGGGACGCGGAATCATCAACCCCTCGCCTGCCGCGTCTCCTGGGCGCCTGGCCCGCAGGGCGCCGTGTGGCAGACAAGCATGGATCACCCAACTTGGCCCTCCGAGGAAGGGGCCAAACCAAGGCCTGAAGCTGGAGGCAGCAGCAGGATGAGGAGATCGAATATGAGAGGGATTGTCTCGGTAAAGGAAACCACAGCATCACGTTTGCAAGAGTTGAACAGGACTGTTCATAAGACCATCACTGGGAGTGGGGGAAGGCCACTCGTTCCTGGGGGTCGCCCTGTGTTGGAAACACTTTGATGGCACGTAACAATCCCATAACCTGACCCCTGAGCCCACCCGGCCATCTCCACTTTGAATTACAGATGTTGCGGGAATCATGTCGGCCACCTCTCCGAGCCTCCTCTTGCCGGCTTTCCTCCCTGATCAAGTGCCCTGCGTAACCGGGAAGCAGACCCTCCTCGGAACACCTTTTTTTACATGCACACATCTGGAAACCGACCCTTGGCCCTTCCAGTCTTGCCCACCTATTATGGCACCTTGGGGGGGACCCCATCAAAAGAT